TTTCATTACTAACAGTTCAGAGAGGATTCAAGTTGTCTTTGTGATAGCTTGGGCAGAGCGTGTTAGAAGACCAGTGTCCTGACTCTGTTCTGTAACTTGGGGAAAAGCTAATACAGACCACAGAGGATCAGTGGGATACGGTCTGTGTGTTCCCTTCTGAACTGGAGCACTGCTGCTACAGGATGAGTCAGGCACAGCTTTCATCTTGACCTTTTGCTAACCTTTGGGGTAGAAAATGTTGCAGTAATTCATCCTGAAGGTGACACAAGCACAGACCACAGTGGCAAGATCCTTATTCAAGAGGAGGAGGAAGTAGCTGAAGGGGAATTGTGTTTTTTCTGGCTGTGAGCATGCTGTATAAGAACAGTGATGAAGCCATCAATATGCCAACACGGTGGATTGTCCCGATAAGCAGAGGGAATTACCTTTGAAAGTCATGTCTACGCCAGGCAAACACATGCTTGGTGCTATTGTTCCGTAGTCTGTTTCTGTGTCCAGGCTGTGATGTAAACTAACTATTGTTGATCTGACTTGCAGCTATGCTGATGCTGATAAAATACACAGATTGGTCTCGCACGAACTTTTGAACACAGCAAATGCAATCATGGCTGCTAATCAAACAAAATGTTTTTGTTATCTTGTCTCATCTATAGATGTTAACTTGTATAAATTGTGCAGTGAATGTCACTGTTACGTTCTCTAATAGTACTTTGCATCCTATCTTTATTCAGTGTGCTCGAGCTAACCATAGAGGCACAGAGAGGCAGTTTGGCAACACCTTGCTGAGATTTGTCTTCACAGTCTGCATTCCTGTAATCAATCCTTTTCCCCAAATAAGAATGCAATTCAAATCTGCATGTCAGCTACTGTTATAGCCCACCAATCTTTTGCAATTCTTAGAGGTATGCAGAATCAAAACCATCACAAGTGTCAACACTTGGTAAAAAGTTTGCTAGAGGTCTGGTATTTGATGGGAAACATGAGAAAAGGGATGTGATAACTGAAAACATCTCCTGCAATTGTGTGGGAGGCCTTTCTTTGTTTAACCAAAGTCAGTGCACATGCTTTGCCTCTATTTGCAGTTGGATTGAATGTCTATAGGAAACCCATTTAGTTTAGAGGGCAGAATATTTTTATAATAGAGTCAACATGGCAAAGACTTTGGTTATCGCTTTCCACTTTGATTTGAATTTCCTGCAGCTGAGAAGACTTAATAAAATTTCTGTTACGATTCCTGTGGTAGAAGGAAGAAGGCTGCTTATGTCAGATGGGACTTAAAAGGTCACCTCAACTAATTTTGTTTCAGCACAATGAGAAGCTGTCTGCAGAAGCTCTTCTTACGTGTATTTGGCACTGTCAAAAGAGGTGGAGTTGCTACAGGTTTCTGGTAGTGGGAACATTTCTGAATTTTAATTCAGTTGAGTTAGGTCCTCTGCCCTCATGATGTAACAGATTGCCTTGTCCAGACAAAGAGCTAGACAAGAACAGGCAAGCTCTGCCCTCCTTCAGGAGAAGGATCTGTAATTATGTGAAGGATCTACATTAAGACATCAGGTACCTTATTACCTCTCATGGACTTCTGTACCTTGATTGGTGAGCGGCTCCCATCTGCACAGCACTGGAAGAAGGCCAGTGGCTACGTCTGAGATGCTTTGGGATGAGGTATTTATAAGGCTCTTTGACTATCATATAACTGAGTGCAGCTGCAGAAGGCTTTGCACGAAGGTAGTGCTCCTGAATTGATTTGGCCAAGGTTGCCTGTATTCACGTAGAAGAGATTGCCTCTTGGCTCAGGCACTTGAAGTGGTTCTAACAAGCACACCGCACCCCTTTGCCTCCCTCCTCTTCCTAGGCTGATTGAATGAGTTGTTTGTAACCAGTGAGTTGAACAAATGAGGAAAGTCCCTGGAAATTGGCCCATTTATCTCAAGGCCATCGTTCCCCCTATATCCATCCGTACACTGAGTAATATGTATGCTAGGAAGGGAATTCTTTTCTTGCTTCTTACTTCTGTGCATTTCTTAATGTTGCCTTGTTTCATTTTTTTTTTGTTGTACTGTGAAATACTTTGTTTAGCTTGGCTTGTAGCTTCAGTTTTGTTTCGTATCTTCTTTCTTTCTCCATTTCATATATTTTTTTCATAAATTACCATGAATAAACTTGTTTTTCCTTCTTGTCATTTAGTGTTTGCTTTTTTCGCTGTTCAGCCCTTGATAATCTAATGTGATCTTGCACAACTCCAGACTGTTACCAGTACCAAATGAACCAAGAGGTAGATTCTCATTTTCAACCCGGCTAAAATGACTTCAGCATGCTGAGAAAATGCTTTGTTTCTGTCATTTCACAGCTGTTGTTCCTAGTGCTTTGCAGAATACCCCCAGCATTGGTTAGATCCAGTTCCCTGTTTTTGAGGTCATCCTTTGCAACCAGTTAACAGTTGGACCCCTTTATTTCAACTATTTTATTTCTACTGTTTTGCTTCAAAAGAAAACAGCTTAAGAACAAGGAAGTAGCTCCAAAGCACTACTTGCATGGTACACCAGCACAGGCTCCCAGCATGAGCTGCTGCTTTTCAAAGTTGTAACTGCTGATTTGACTGTAAGAGTACTTAACAGGCTCACATAGGTTGCATCATGGATTAAGAAGCTGGTATGGTATCCATGGTGTTAGTCAAATACTTTCAGTGTTTTTCTGATGGCAAATACCAGTTCTTAACAGTTCCGCCTGCATTGCTGCTTCCTCTAGACCTTGATGGATTTTTATTTATGTGACATTTTGATTTTGCTGCAAGCTTGTATAACTTTGGTAGTTTAGATAAAGAAGGCAGTGGGTGCCCTCCTCCTGTTACTGCTTCTGACGTGGATATTTCTGATTTTTTTTTTTCCTGTCATGCTTCCAGGGGAATTAATTAAAATAGCACTGTGGCCCTCTGCAGACATGGTGAACCTTAATGATGTAGTTCCGAGCCTTGTGTTTTAAGCTCAGTTGCATGCATTTGCTGCATGGAACCACATAGGAAAGAAAGAAAATATCACTTTGGTTGGGTGCTTCATCTCCTAGCCAGCCCCTTTTCATTAGCATCTTCTTTGGCTTGTCTCCAGTTGTACGAAACAGGAGCTTAAGATTGGGCTTATTGACTGCCCCTCTGCACTCCAGTGTCAGTAACATTGATTTTAGTGCCCTGCATATGTAGTCTGTGTGATGAGACGTGCATGGGAGCCTTGTGGGCTACCATTTGTTTTTATTCTGCTATAGCAGCAGTCCTGGCTACTTCTAACTTCCTCATCATTTTTTGAGGAAGAGAAAGCTACAGTTAGAGATTTTCTTTCTTTTATTTATGAAGCCACACAGGAGGTGGGGAGAGGCTGGTCTGCAGCAGGGTGCTAAGGGAAGAGTGAAATGCACTGAGCCTGTTACCAGCTGCGTTACTGGAGCTGCTCTTGCTGGGGGCACCCTTTGGAGCCTTTCCCAGAGGGCTGAGATGAGGGGGACCTGGGAAGTCCTCTGCAGATGTTCCTTCACTTGCCTCTGCTGCTGTGCTGAGGAAGTGCAGCTCCACATGCAGCTGGAATAGCAAACAGTAGTGTCTCAAGCAGTGCTATCTGCAGCCTGTAGTTTCAGCATCCCAGAGGTCCAGCCTGTTCTGGTGAGCTCTTGTTTATAACTGTGATAGTTAGAACATTGTTTTAAACTGAATACACTCGGCCTGATCTGACAGGTCAGTGGCTAAATGCTGCAAAGAAGGATTTCATAGAGCTGTAAACAAAAAAAAAAAGGCACTACATGGGCAGAAGGGCTACAGAAAGGAGGATATTCCATGGTGTTTGTAGGTGTTTATCTACAGCATAGCGTGTTGTTAACGGATGTGAAAGTACAAATGTTGAAAGTGTGTTTTTCAATCTAAAGTGATTGCAGCAGAGGTAGAAATAAGCTAGGAGGTGGTTATTTTTGCTTTCAGTCTGTGTCAGGTATGTTCCAGAAAAGACAGATAAGATTAAAGGGGAGGAGAACATGCAGGAGAAAACATTGAAGAGCAGCAGGAATGTTGGAACTTTGCAGGACAAGCAAAAGAAAGAAAAAAAAATGGTTGAAGGCAGAATGGTGGATTGGAACAAGTTGTGGTTGGATTTCAAAGCAATTATACCCTCAGCTTCCTTATTCCCTCCCTTCACTGGAAATTATTTGCTTCACAGGGAGCGTGTTGTGGCTTTTAGATATGTTTTGGATTTTTTAAACCCAGGTATGTTGCATGACTGAAGTGTGTGTGTGTTTCAGCCACGTCTCTAAATCATCATTTCCCACTGAAGTGTTTGTACACGTCGGTGATATTGCTGTTCATCATCTGACTTTGCTCTCAGCATAAATACGGAAAGCAATGCGGCACACAGGTCTGTCAGCCTGAAAACTGATGGAAGGATTCCCAATTTAAACTTATATTTTGGAAGCAAATTTTGTTCAGCTGCTTTAACCAGGAGTACACGAGTCTGGCAGGCAGTGAGCTGTGTGTCCTTGGAGTCTGAGGAGATCCTGATGAGCATCACCATTGCAGTGTAAATAATTCTGCATATAAGTGAGCACACAGAAGGAGGTTAGGAGAACTGAGGGCTGACTTATGGATCGTTTGGATACACACTGGGTACTGTGTGAAATTGATGGCAGAGGTATGTTCAGTCGTGCTTGTGATGTTGATGCTGGAGAAAGAGATCCTGGATACAGTTTCCAAGTTTTCTCATGACCTACCAGCAATCTCAGAGGCAGGCTGTGCAGTTCAGTTATGGTTGTATCACACATACAAGATCCCTTCACTTTGGCAATTGTGTCGGTGAATTCAGGGGTCAAAACCATTTTTTCTTCTAGTAGGAAAGTGACTGTTTCCTTTTTGCAGTCCTTAGAGAAATGAAATGTTTCTGATGTCGAGTGATTTTTCAACAGTTAATCTGTATTCTTAAGAACTCCTCACAGACGTGTTCTGACCCTGTAATCTTTTCTAATCTTACTAGGACTTTACAGACTCCAACCCAAGTTCCAGTGGTTGTTTCTCCTGGAAATCAGCAGCTGCATACTGTAACACTCCAGACGGTGCCTCTTACTACAGTGATAGCCAGCACAGATCCAGCCTCAGCAGCAACGCCCCAAAAATTTATTTTACAAGCCATTCCTACTTCACAGCCCATGACAGTTCTTAAAGAAAATGTCATGCTACAGTCTCAGAAGCCAGTTTCACCTCCTTCCTCCATTGTGCTGAGCCCAGCACAAGTTCAGCAGGTTCTCACCAGCAGCGTGCAGACAATTTGCAATGGAACAGTTAATGTGTCTTCATCTCCATCCTTCACTGCCACCACCCCAGTGGTAACTTTTTCTCCCAGCAGTTCACAGGTGGTTGCTCATCCATCTGGCACAGTGATCACTTCAGTTATTAAAGCAACAGAAGCTAAACAGATTGGGGTACAAGGAGTGCTAAAAGAAGATGACGGTGACAAATTAGATGATGCTGAGCAGTCAGAGCAGAGATTCCAGCAGCAGCCGTTTGTGATGGTAGTATCCAGTTCAAATAGTTTCCCATCTAACATACAAGCAAAGCAAGAAAATGAGCCATTGGAACCCAGTTCATATTAATAAGTTAAAAAAAAAAAAAAAAAGACCCTGTGGATGATTATTTTCATAAATGTGATGGGACCTTTTCAGTTTTGTATATATATATAATTTGATTCAGAAGCAAGACGTTAAAAAAGCTACTTAATTTCTGCATTTAATTGTTAGAATTCATGCTTTAGAACAGATTTTGATTTTCTGTTAATTGCTAAATGTTATCTTAATTAAAACTGCGCATTACTTAATGTTCCAAAATACAGGCATGAAGAAACGTGCTTTTTATGTTATGAAGACGTTATTTTGAGGTCGTTGGCCAAAGTTCCAAACTTCTTTCTTGCTGTATGTTTTCAGTCTGTTGCTGATTTACATTGCAATAGGATTATTATAACCTTTTTCTGTTTAATCTGTATGTGTATCACTTAGCTTTTGAAGCAACAGTTACTTTCCATTGGACGTTTTCATTCCATGTGTATGAATGTTTATGAATATCTTTCATACCAGTGAATTACATCCACTTTACATGTTGATAACCAGATCTCCTCTTGTATTTTTTTGCAGCACAAGCTCTTGTGTGTGCAAAATGGAATATACACTCCTATTGAGAGTACACAAAACATTTATTTCAGTAATGGACAATGCCATGTCAATATTTTATAAGAAAACATCAGATATATTTAATTACAGAAGCTAACAGCATCACTACAGGTGCAAAAGTTTCATTCCATTTTGTGACTATGAAGCTTAACAATCTTGCTTTCTACTTCAAATTATTTTGTAGGGAGGAGGGAGAAAAAATATATACAATTTATGCAGATATTCTGAGATTAATACTGCTAAGAGTTCTTTTTGATTGTAAATAATGTACATTCAATAAGGAAGTTTTTTCAGCTAATTTGTTTCCATACAAATTTTTGATAGAAGAAAATAAGATCATTATGTTTAGAGGTTTAATATTATATGTATTCATATTACAGAGTGAATTTGTATTTAAAGACAAATTTTTAAGTGATGGAGCCCTCTGAACCTTTGGTTCTTGTCTTTTGTATTTTTAATTGGTTTATTATGAAAATAAATCAAATGGAAAAACATTTTTTTTTCTGTACTTATTCTGAAACGCTTTTGGATTATTACAGTGTTTTGATGATCGTTGTGTGCATAACCAAAATACACTGAGAAATAGGACAACATGATGAATCGACGTGTGTCTGTGGTGGGACATGAGCAAATGAGCAATTCATGAATCACTTTGAACAGACTGGAACACACCCTGTGTGCTGCGGGCATGTGATGACATGGTGTCCTCTGAAACAGGGCTCAAATGAAAGCTGAGCCATGTCTGAGAAGTGGCCTTAAACTCCTCCTTTTCTGTCGCTTCCTAATATGTTATCAACAGCCCCAAATTTTCATTGCAATTTTGGGATGTCATTTAGCTCAGAGAGCCTAATGGCTTGTGTATTGGCTGTTGGCTCAAACTACTGTCAAAGCCTGGCTGTATTTCAACAGAAGGCGGATTAAAAATAAGTATGGTGAATCATAGAATCATAGAATCACCAAGGTTGGAAAAGACCTAAAAGATCACCCAGTCCAACCGTTCACCTATTCCCAATAGCTGCCACTAAACCATGTCCCTCAACACAACATCCAGCCTTTCCTTGAACACCCCCAGGCTCGGTGACTCCACCACCTCCCTGGGCAGTCCATTCCAGTGCCTGACCACCCTTTCTGAAAAGTAATACTTCCTAATGTCCAGCCTGAATCTCCCCTGCCGTAGCTTGAAGCCATTCCCCCTGGTCCTATCACTAATGACACGAGAGAAGAGGCCAACCCCCAGCTCACTACAACCTCCCTTCAGGAAGTTATAGAGAGCAATGAGGTCTCCCCTGAGCCTCCTCTTCTCCAGGCTGAACATTCCCAGCTCCTTCAGCCTCTCCTCATATGGCCTGTGTTCCAGACCCCTCACCAGCTTTGTTGCCCTCCTTTGAACACGTTCCAGGGCCTCAATGTCTTTCTTGCAGTGAGGGGCCCAAAACTGGACACAGTACTTGAGGTGCGGCCTCACTAGTGCTGAATATAGGGGAACAATCACCTCTCTGCTCCTGCTTGCAACACTGTTTCTGATGCAAACCAGGATGCCATTGGCCTTCTTGGCCACCTGGGCACACTGTCGGCTCATGTTCAGCCGAGCATCAATCAATACCCCCAGGTCCATTTCCTCTACGCAGTTCTCCAGCCACACCGCCCCAAGCCTGTAGCGTCACCTGGGGTTGTTGTAGTGAGATGCATAGGGTATAAAAATTAAAGGAAATATTCTATAAATGTACGTAGGAGACGTAGCAATTGTCTCACAGGGTTAATTTTAAATACATTGGTATAGAAAAACTAATGTTGTCAGTGGAGGTGACTTGAATGGTGACAGATCTTAGCCTAGATAGATGGAGGTAATCGAAACTATCTCACAAGCACTTCTCAGCCACAGCAGCCCTGTTTGGCAGTTGAAGCTGCCTCGCTTAGTTCAATGCATGGCTCTTTCCCCTGCCTTCCATGTGGTTATGTTTTGACCTGCAAACCCACAGACGTAATCCCGTTTTCGGGAAGGCCGACCATACCCAAACTGGCTGCTGACGCCAGCTGACTGCTGGAGGTTTGTCTGGCAGCACTCCCTGCAGCTGGGCCCTGCTGGCACCGTTACCGGAACATGAGTAAGCACTGTGAAGTACATCTCTCACAGCTCTCATCCTGAGGACTTTCTATTTCAGACTGACGAAATCCCTGGGAGGGGCAGGCTCGCCTTTTCATCAGGCTAAGAAGTAGGGATGGTTTTCTGCAGTATAAGGCCCTTTGTAGTTCTGGGAAGCCTGAGGTGAGGATACCTGCGGCGGTGAAGGCTTTGACTGACGGAGGCGGTGCAGCCACATCCCCAGAGGGGTCCGGGACGAGACCAGCGGGCACAGTGGGGCTGCTGGATTATTGGCATATACAGATACATGAAAAAACACAGCACAAGGTTAATAACAGCTTTGTCGGCAAAACTTTACGTCACACAAAGGAAAAAAAAAAAAAAAAAACGATTTTATTAACTCAGTCGGTGGGCTGGAAGCAAAACCCCGACGCACCACCACCCGCCACAGGGCAGCCAACTCCCTCACAGCACCCGCCCCGCGCATGCGCCCCGCGCTGCCCTCCCTCTCGTGCGCCGCTCTATCCCGGCGGTCCTCCAACTCTATGGAAGGGGCGGGAAGGGCGCTTGCCTCTCTAGCGATGGCCGCCCCGGCCCGTCACGCGGAGGGCGGGAGGAGCCTGCGGGGCCGCTCGGTCCCGGCGCATCCCGTCAGGCCACGCGCGCGCGGCTGCGGCCTTGGAGCGTGCTGCGCGGGCGCCGCGGCGGCTCCAGAAGTTTCTTGGGGACGGCGGGCGGTATGGCGGCGGCGGCCGCAGAAACGGCAGCGCGGTGAGCGCCGCGTTCCTTCTTCCCTACCCGCGCGTCCCCGCTTCGCCGCCTCACGGCGTTGTGTTTCTTCGGCAGGTTCTCGGACGCGGATATCGACCGAGATCCGACGGCGGCGGCGCGGGTGAGCAGCGGGACGGTGGAGGGCTGTGGGAGGGACTGTGGGCCCTCACGGGCAGCGCTGTGTGCAGGGGGTGGATCGCCACGCTCCTCACAGTGGGCTGCCCTTTGTGTTGGGCCTGACTCGATACGGGGCTCTTCCGTCACAGCACTCGTGCTGATTAAGGAAAAGCAGAAGTAAAAACCCCTCTCTGTGTGCCTTGTGGATGAAGCAGTTGTCACTTGCGGTTAAATAAACAAGCTTGTCAGAGAAAGGTATTCAGTGTGTTAGCCTTTATTCTGCCGGTGAGTCCCATAATGCAGCGTAGCGTTCTGATGACTTACCAGCTTGGAGTTGTACGTGGTGCACCAGGTTTGCTTGCTCTTGGAATCATAGAATGTCCTGGGTTGAAAAAGACCATGGTAATCATCTAGTTTCAACCCCCCCTGCTACGTGCAGGGTCGCCAACCACCAGACCAGGCTGTCCAGAGCCACATCCAGCCTGGCCTTGAATGCCTCCAGGGATGGGGCATCCACAGCCTCCTTGGGCAACTGGTCTTTCAGCTCATGTGGTTAATGTTCGTAATCTGGGTCTTGGCACCCTGTAAGTGGTGCTGTGTCCTGCCTGCACGCTTGACAGGACATGTCCAGTCAGCATGGCATTCCCATGGTGTTCTCACAGCTTGTGATTCCTTTAATTCCTGATGTGCATGCTTTGGCTTCCTGCTCCTGGGTCTGATACAACTGGGAGGTCATCATCTGTGTTTAAACAGTGAATTACGTGACTCTGGGCAGCCTGGTCTAGTGGTTGGCAATCCTGCACGTGGCAGGGGGTCAAAACTAGATGATCTTTGAGGTCCTTTTCAACCCAGGCCATTCTGTGACTCTTTTATGATTCTGTGATAAAGCCATGAACTTGTTAATGGCTTTTTATGTCACCTTAAAGAAGTACTCTGCTGTGGCTCTGCAGTGTAAGTAGTGGTGGCTTATGAGAGAATCAGAAGTGCCCGCTGAAACAAGCTGTCATGTCTTTGTTTTGGTGAAGTGCTCTGTCAAAAGGATGGTGATCCCCTTAAATTCAGGCACGAGTGAGACAGGAGGCTGAGAACACTTTTAATTCTTACCAGCTTTTACCATTATTGTAGTCATATATTTGTGGATTTACTTGATCACACGGTAAGGGCCTGGAGTGAAGGTAACTTGGTGGCGTCTATTTGAGTCTTTGGGAGGACAGGTCCTGAGCTTGTCTAAGTAACTGCAGCTGATGTCCACCATCTGGAATTCTTAGTGCCAGTCAGCTGCCCTTTGGCTGACTTCTCAAGTCGCTGTGCTGTATGATTTGTTTTGAGGAGAAGTGTCTCGGTAGCTGAACGAGATGTGGTGATTGACAAAAAAGCCAAGCAGTGTAAGTTCACCCAGCTGAAAATGCTTGCCTTTGCTTTCCATGAGTGAAGGCTAGTTCTGCAGCTTTTCCTCTGAGGAATCTGTTCCTGCACTGAGTGCTGGTTTTGATCAGTGTTCCTGTTTTCAGAGCAGATCATGGGAGGTTACGTTTGGTCACAGAATGGGTTCTGCTTGTCAGGCACCTGTAGTGTTCAGTGTCAGACTCCTGCTTGGTTTTGAGGGTCAGAAGTTGTACTTCACTTCGTAGTGTTATGTGATCCTGTTGGGTTTCCTCATACTTCTCCTGTCTAGAGTATCTGTATACCATGAATATTTACATAATGATGTCTGTTCTTGAATGTATCCTTAAACTTAGGGGCCTGTCTGTACAGTTAAATCTAGCGTTGCTTTTTATTGTGCCTGTTTCTGCCTCCTGCTTCTTCAGAGACCTCTGAGGTTTTAGATTTTTGTGCTGTACTTGCACAGAGGTTTGTACGTTTTCCATGACACTGATGGAAGTACATTGGAAGAAGCTGTCGTGGCCATGTAGTTCCTAGATGGTGTAAGCGTATAAATGAAAGAGAGCAGGGTACCAGTCT